TGCACGCAGTGCTTCTGGTGGGGCGATAGTCAGGCATCTGGCAGCAGAGCTGTTTGCATCTGCTCCCTGACTTTGGGGAAGGGGCTCCTTCCCAAACGGCCGCTCATCACCACCTCTGTACGACTTACAGGCTGTGCCAGCATCCCCTTGTGGATGTCCACAGAATAAACTCGATCAGAAAATGCATCCAGTTTAAAAAGAATCTAGTTCATAGCTTTCCCTCAAAGCCCGGAAACAGTTTATGCAGCTTTTCAGCTGGATCAATAACGTGAACCAATTTACCATGTGAAGACACAAATGCTTGTACTAGAAAAGCAACAAAGTAGAAAACAGGGAAAGTAGGAGAGGAAAAAAACCAAAGCAGAAATTGATATAAAATCACCACCCCTAAAAAGTGCAGATGATCAAAGGCTTGATGCTAAGTAATGAGAACACAGCAGTTAGGCTGTGTGATCTGGTTAATTTGTGAGAGGTTGCGTTTGTTACAAGCAAAAGCATTGCAACATTTCCAAAACAAAGTTTTACATCTAGAAAAAAGATTAACAGGTCATCCCTAAAGATTATCCTGGGAAACCACAGTCCTGAAGAGGACTGAGACCCAGAGCAGGTGTGCAATGCAGCAAGGGCCTCCGAATGCTCCAGCAATCATGGCTAATAAGCCCTTTGGATGACTGAACAGCAGAGTAGCAAGGGGGAATAAAGACACAATTTTACCTTTAGGAGGGTCATGGGTGACACTCCTATGAGATTGCAGCCTTTGGTGTGCCCACATTTCAAAAGGTATCTTTAAAAATTAGAGAGCACAGAGAAAACCTGCAAGGATGTTTCAAGGATGGGCAAAAAAATTTCCTACTATAAGGAACTAAAAGACCAGCGTGTGTAGTTTAACAGGAAAGAGATTGAGAAGTGACATTGCAAGGCATAAGTACTTTCACGGTGAAAAAATACCAGGTCCCCAAAGTCTCCCTGACCCACTGAGGAAGAGGCAAGCAGATCGAGCAGCTAGAAGCAGAAGCATGGCAAGCTCTAAACCAGACATGAGGCAAGCGTTTTACACCATGCACAAGCCATAGAAAGGGACAGATGATTCTCCATCTCCTCATGTTTCCAAACCAAGGCTAAATGCTTTTTGGGAAAACAAGCCTTAAACAATACATTTTTTGGATTCTACAAAGGACACAGAAGGATATAAAATTACCTGTAATAATAAAGATACCAAACTACCTGATGTAACAGCCTTTATCGAATTTAGGTTGAACAGAAAAACAAAGGATTTTGGTGTTCTAGCAGAGCATCCAGAAGAAAGATGAGATCTAAATGCTCATTTAGCATTTCAATTTAATAAAATTAACACACTTTTCAGGAAGCCTTTTAGCTCGATAGCCCAGCAAACTAAAGCCCTTTTGCCATTCAAAATGTGTCTCCTGAGCAGTGGACCCAGCTTACCAACACCCCTCCTGGGCCAGGGGACACCTATGGGAATATCCAACCCCGTGGGACCAGTTTTGACCCTGGCTCAGGGAGAAACAGGAGTCTACGCCCAACTCACTGGTCTGTGCTGAAAGGCTCTGTCCTTACTGAGCCCAGACCAAACCACTGCCTCCTTTTTCCACCATAATTACAGAAATATTGAGTTTTTTAAAAAAGTTTCAGTCTCGCAGCAACCTTTTAGTGTTTTCCCTGAGAAAGAGCAACGTCAGCTCTGTCAGTTCAGCTGCCATGCACGCAGGCAATTTGCCTTTATGGAATATGTACTTCTTGGTTACTGCCCAAAAGGCTCTCAAACACCTGCAATAACTAGGGTTTTTTTTTTGTTTACTGCGGTTGAGTCTTCACAGGCAGATCTTACTCCTTCCCCTCAGCTCCAACAGGTATTTCATTGCCTTTTCATATTCCCTAGTAAAGCCACCTAGAAATTTTAAGAGAAAGTTTCCCTTCGGAGGCTGTAATTAAATCAAAATATTCAGCAAGAATGTGTTGCTCAACACACGCAAAGATGAGAAGTTAAAGTAATTCCTTCCAACAAGGTAGGCGTGGTGTTCAACATTTCTAATGTTACTTGGCAGGTTTTGGAAATAGAAGTCATTTAAAAATCGAAGGAATTCATTTGTGTTCATATTTTAAGTAAATAATCAAAATGATACAGCTGAAATAGGAGTTTTAGTGGCTCTAAAATTAATGTTCCTTAAATTCCATTTCACAGTAAATTAAGTTTCTGATTCAAGCCAAAAGGAAAATTTTGAAATGGCTGAATTTCCCGTGAGCCAGGAAGAGAGCTTTCGGCAGGTCCGCAGGGCTGGCAGCACCGGGGCGGGGGGGGTGAAGAGCAATCCTTTGCTTCTTTCCGATTGGTGAGCAATCAGTGACATTCTCACAAAGCTCCTGAATCCATCTATTTTCCCAAACACACCCAAGCTTCACAGATCATCCAAGAAACCATATGTTCCTGTGCTACTAATCCATGCCTGGCCCACATTTCCCAGTTTTCCTTTGACTGTGGTAGAGACGATGACGCAGCAGAGACACGGGAGGCATTGCCACTGCAGACTGGGGCTTGCCGGGGTGCAGAAGCCCCGCTCTGCCTAACGCCGCTGCCCATGCGGCACCGGAGCTCCTGTCAGCTTTATGCACACCTGCCACCATCCCAGCCAACCTAGGCAGAAAATTAATTCCCCTCATAGTAAAAATATGTTTAACCTTGTTTCCACCTGCATTTGTCCTGCTTCAATACGGAGACTTGCTTGTCTGCCGCGTTGAACAGCCATTAGCCAAGTTTTGTTCCTCGTGTACCTGCTGTGATCAGAGGTGGCACCTGCCATTCCACAAGGAGGCTCTACAAACGTGGAGGGTCGGGAATTTTCTCATTCTTCCTGGGCAGAAACTAACCACTTCCAAGCTGTCTGCTCTGCGTCCATCAGCTGTCTGGCCCCGCGACAGTCAGGTGTGACGAGCAAGGCAGCTACATGCTTCATTATCTCCCCTGACTCACATTTGACAGAAAGAACTAATATCTCAAGTGCGCAAGGAAAACCAATTAAAAAATCCAAGTGACTGTTTTGCCCTTGTGTGCAGGTATTTAGTTCCCATGAATGTCATTGTGAGCCATGCACATGTTTCAAAGAGAAATACCCCCCTGGCTCATTTCGTAATGTCACAGCACTTGGAATTTGGTCACAGACTTTACTCCCACAGACTGACATCTCCAATTGTTCAAGACTTTTTTTAAATTTTTTTTTTTCAAGAATACTGGTTAGGAAGGAATTTTTAAAAGGATCCAGAAGACCGTCATCAAAATATTGCAAATGTTTTGCAGATCAGAACACTAACATTCATGATAGCCTAAAAAAAATCTGAATTAACTTTTTATGTGCAAAAAAAAAAGTTTAAGGAATTTATTGATCACAGCTGACAGGTATCCATGCAAGGAAGGAATTATCTGGCAACATGGGCCTATAATAATATTGATATACTCACCACCTGGCTTTTAATCCATGCTTTTCACTTTATGATCATAAAGCACTTTATGAACGAGGTCAAACATCTAGTGGGAAAAGGCAGAATGAGATGTAATGGTTAGAAACCAAAGCCAAACAAATACAAGAAAGAAATAAGGCACACTCCATTTGTTTTTTTATCAGTCACAACAGCAAGTGATCAACAAAAGCAGGAATTTGCCTGCAAACTTGCTATTCTCCATCACTTCTTGTCACAGAGGGAGGATCTCATGCCAAATATGTTACAGTTCAAATAAAATCACAAACTTAAAGTAATTATTAGGCGAGGCTGTTTGCCTCTTGAACACAGAAGGTGAAGAAAACAAGGTGAACATAGAAATACCTCTTTCCCCTGAAAATCTACACTGCATTTCCCATTAACTTCAGCCTACCCACCTACCCAATTAGTCAAACAAATCTTGTAGTACAACCTTTCTAGATGCCCAGAAAGAACGGCTGTCAAATGGTAGGTTTCATCTCGAGCTCATGGTCTGGTTTCAGATTTGGTAGGCATTAAAGAAATAAAATCCTTACCATCTCTCAAATGCACATGAAATAAGTCAGATTTTTTGTCCAGGTCATAACAAGCTGCTGAAGCCACAAACCCACAATGCTTAATGTTACCTGATGCCTTCATTAAGCATCAGATCTGATAAGTCAAAGACTGAATGTTGAGGTAGATTAACCTGATCTCCAACAACCTGAAGCACATCTCTGCTGGAATTCAAGCACACAGGCAGGTCAAACAGTGAGATTCTGCATTGCCCCAAGTGAAGTCAACACAACCCGTGTGCAATAGCAATTCCAAGATGCCAAGTCTACTTAGGGAAGGACTATAAAATGACTGATCATCTTTTTAAACCAATTGATGCATCCTAGACGCAGTTCTGCCATAGGCTGGTGAACAGATGCGAAAAACTAAACACACTGAACACCTCAAACCCAATTACCTGAACGTTTAAAAGGTTCTTGAATTCTTTGGCACGTCTGGCCCCCAAAAATCACACATTTTCAACTTTGCTAAAAAAGAAACCTTCCTGAGTTTCACTGTTCTGCAGCTGCTCTTTGGAAAAAAATGCTGTTGGTACAGCATCCACTCGGTCACTTGCTGCTTGCCTCAATGGTCTGGTCTGAAAACTCTTCAGAGCAGAGACAACGTGTAAGCCTGTGTGGTATGTATAACAGGGTCTTCACCCTGCGTGAGCATTTGTGATCTATTGTAAGATTAATATTATATCTAGAAAGAGGGTGCTTATTGTTTAGACCGGCCTGTACAACATTAGCAGATGACAGAACCATATTTCTCGAAAGGTAGCAGCCTTACATATTGAGCCCTGCCTGGCCCAACATCTCCAAAAGTTTCAAAGCCCTACATTACTTCAATATGCACTTTCAAACTTTGTGGTTGAGTCATTTTGCAAGTGAACTCCAGTCCTACTAGGAATCACAGGCCTACACAAACAAACCAAAGTCCAAAAAGAGATAACAGCGTGAGCAAAGGGCAGAATGTGGATGCAGGGAAAAAAGGAAGAAAGCAGGATAAATAAGGTCCACACTTGGAGAGCTGAAGGATCTTGCTCAGCACAGCTGCTGCAGAGGAAAATGAGCCCGAGTTACATATTGTCGGTGTTTGTGAAGGAGCTGCCCGGCTACATTCTCTTTGCTGGGATCTTTTTGCCCGTGACTTTACTCCTGCTGCTGCTAATTGCTTACTTCAGGATCAAACTATTAGAAGGTGAGTCAGGGCTCGGGGGTAATGAGTGGGTAAGCAGGCAAAACTTCTCGTACAACAGGCTACTGTTAAGCTTGTACCATTAACTAAACTGAAGAGAACTACGATCATAAAAAATTTTCTGAAGTTGTACTGCATTTTAGACCATTTTCTATTTGCAAATTGTTACAAGAATTTGTTTAGAACTTGGACTGAACCCTCACTTAAAACTCCACAGTTTTACATACCACACTATAGAAGATTTTACTATACTACACTATAGAAGAGGCAACCAAAACGGAGAAAAAGAATAGGGTGGCTAAAGTACAGGTCATTTTCCTCTGTGCTTTCACCGTGCAAGTCTTCAGTGAGACAGTTAACAGCAGTTACACCCTATAATTGGTTGGTTATTGAGTGCATGTCTGTGTTCTTTCAAAGGCACGTTCTTGCTTTTACTTTGTACCTAAATGCACAGTTGCCATGTTGCCTTTTCTATTTTAAAATCAGCTTGTACTCACTTAAAAAATCTTTCTTCAGAGTAAAACCAAAACAAGAAACACCCCCACCCAAGTAAATGCACAGTCAGCGCAACGCACCTGGGTACTGCAACCCGAGGCTGCTCACGGAGCCTGACTGGTCCTGCACAGAAAAGACACTGGGCTACAACTGTGGCAGGCAGGGAGTTTCTTTTAGAAGGGAAACTCCTGTACATCAGACTACCCATTTCAATGGGACGATCTTCATGCCTTCCAGGTTTGGGTCCCAGCCGCAGCAGCAGACTCACCCATGTGCTGCTCTCGTTTTAGGCTTCCAGCTGCCAAGGCCAGCCCCAGTGCACGTTCAGATCAGCATCCTCATCCTTTCTTTCCTTCAGCCCTTCTAAAACATGTTCTTGCAGACACTGGGCTAAGCTTGTTCTTCAAATTAGCTGCCTTTTGAACCTTTTCTCAACAGGGAGTGTCAGGAGAGCTAAGATGATATCCTAGATTTCCTCTGTAAACTTCAGATGCTTCTTGGTACAGCTTGGTGAGAACCCTGCCTGGGACAACAGTTCACGATGCATGTGCTACATGTTTCAGCTCTAGCAGCTCACCTGTGATCTCAAAAGCAGGGACTTGGCTAGGGCAGGCAGGACAATCCTGACCACAGGGCTCTGCAGCTAAGCTGGGACATTCACCTCCAGCTGGCCTGAGGTGCATCAGCCCAACAGGAGAAGGTTAGATTTACCCATGAGCTCAGGGCTAGGGAAGAACCCTTACCTAGATGCCAGATCAAATACTGTAATTTGTACATTCATTCAAGTTTGCTCTATCCTGCAGTCTTCTGAAATCCTGAAAACTGGGCAATTCAACACAGTTCCAAAAGTAAGAAAGGCCACACGTACCCAGAAACGTAGAATGAACTCACCTCCTATTCTGTATAACATCTCCGGGCATTTAGACCTGAGGCTTTAACAGAGGGGAAGGGTGTTTGCATACAAGCGTACACCACAAGTTACCTTCAGGCTGCTAAAACTCAAACATTTCCTGTTCAAGATGTGCTTTAGGATGCTGAATTAATCAGCGAGGGAAGCCTGTTCCGCATGCCTAACCCAGCTCTGCCTTCGGCTATAAATTATGCTTACAGCAAGGTGCTGACAGTTTTCCACACACTGATAAACAACAACCAAAAAATGGTGTGGTGCCAAAACATCATACAATTCAATATCTATGAGGGAATGGGAAGGCTAAGTATTGAGAGCTCTTTCTTGAAAAAGGTTGAAATGGAAACTAATGAAATTATTGCATTGGACCTTGGATAAAAGAGGTGATTCTCCCTTTCAGCAAATAATCATGTCTGTGTCCATCTGTGACATTAGTTATTGTGAAATAATACTGAGATACTACTGAACTCATTCTTACCTGGTGATGCTTTTGCTTTCCTATTCCAGCTAGGATCAAGCGAAACGGGAAAAGCAGGTGGGTTACGGATCCCATCAGTTCAGGTATTTTGCTGAGGCTCAGACAATACTTTCATTAAGCGAAAAGAGCCCATCTGGAAAAAACCACAGATGTTCGCATTTATGCTGCATGATCAACTGCTGAAACAAACTGGCCTGCCCTTTTTCACAGTGCCCGTATCCTCCTTAGCTGCACTTTCTGCAGGTCTGTAAATAATCTGCAAAACCAGATGTTAAATCCTGCTTCTCTTAAAGCACAGAATTTTTAGCTTTGGATTTGTAGTGAGTTTAAGTAAGTAACGATTTCCTAAATTTTCTGAGATTAGCAATCAAGGCTTTAAGAGAGAGAGGTGCATGAAGTAGTTGGCAGACTAATTTGCCAAAGGAATATTGCTTTTGTGCTTCTCTCTTTCATAACTGAGAAGGATGCTTGAAGGGAATCATCTGGCTGTTCAGTGCCTCAGGGCAGGAGATTCTCCATTTGCAGATCACAGGTGTTCTGGCTGTGACTCTCAAGAGAATGCGGGATGAATTCCTGTCTATTTAATACGTTGGGCATCGCAGTCCCAGCTCTGCCTCCAGGCCCTTCTTTTGCTTGATCCGAGAGTGCCAGAGTCCAACCTACCACTTAGGCCTCCAGCCAGCTCACACAAATCATCCCAAGCAGCTCTCCCTGTATAGGCAAGGGGAGCCAGCTTCAGCTTAAGACCATCCGGTGAGCGAAATGACTAACCACAGATAAGCCTGAGAACAGACTCCTTTAAATGCCGACCCTCCCTCTCTGACAAAGCCTCAGAAATTCAGCAGGCTTTAGATGCCTATTTCCTTAGAACTCTTTAAAAGGGGGGAAAAAAAAAATATCAAATTTGCATTACTAAAAGCAAGGCTGCCTTGTTTCATTATCAAATAAGCATTTCATTTTTCTCTGTGCAGCAACCGAGAAGCTCCATGTAAATATATCAAAACCCACCTTGGTATTCTCCCTTCAAGTTTCCTTTAAAATAAAACTAAAGCCAACAAACAAAACAGCACACATTTCTCCTGAACAACTAGCAATGACAAGGGAAGCTAATATCCCGTGACAAAGTGTTTTATGCTAACTGGGCTTTTTTTTTCATTTTCTTTTTTTCTTTTCTTTTTTTTTTTTTTTTTTCCCTTTTTTTTTTTTTTCCTTTGTCCTCCAAATTTTTTC